ATTTGTGTCTTAAAATTTTCTAGAGCTCCAAAAACAATTCTAAACAAAGCCATTAACGCAACATCTGTGTGTAAATAACAAAACAAAATGCAATTGCACCTGTTTTAATAAGACAATAACCCGCCACAAGAACAAAAACACCAACAACAACGAAAACACAGCATTTCAAATTCTAACAAATAAATAACAAACTAGAATAACAAGAAGAAGAAGAAGCAGCAGCAGCAGAAGTAATCAAAAGAAATTCCCCCATCACTGAGAATAAAAAGATAAAACAAAACGGTGTTACTCACAACATCCTACTCTGTGCCTTTTCGTGTGTGTGTGCATCTTTCTCTCCCGCTCAACAATTTATTATCTCCAGTTATTTCGTGTAGTTGTTTTTGTTAGAAGTGTAAAATCCCATTCCTTTTCCATTGTGTTGCTCACTCACCTGGTTGCAGTGTGAATGAGAGAAGAGATAGGAAGTGATTGCGGTGTTTTTTGTCATAAAGGAAAGAAGTAACACGAAAAAAAAAAACACACACACAGAAACCTGTCAAAAGTGCATCCATCATCACCCACAGCACAGGGTTGCCAATTGTTTGGTGAAATCTACAAGGCAATCGACATTTAAAAAGGTGAGTTTATCATATAATTTTTTAAATAAAATGATGAAAATAGGAAATAAAATGTGGAAAACAATAAAATTATGAAAATTTTAAATGAAAAATAAATAAAAATGGGCCGTGAAATGTAAAAACAACAGTTCCAAAGTGAAAAGAAAAATGTAAAAAATAATAATAATAATTATAAACAACTATGCAAATAATCAAACAAAAATAATGTATAGAAATAAGTAACTGACCGACTGAGAATCAAGGCCCAGACTACACGGCTGAAGCTTGAATCTTGGAATTTTGCAGAAGGGCAGTCTTGGTGTTGGGTTTTTTGGAAATTGATACTAAAACGGGTACGAAAAGTACTAAAATGCACTAAAAATTGAATACTTTGTATTAGACAAATGGTATGAGCTAGAATTCTGAAAATTGGAATGAGAGTCACTGGAGTCACATAGATTGCAGGATAGATGTACTAAAGGGTTTTTGAAAATTCGAAATTTTAATTGATACTAAAAGAAAGTGCGGAAAGTGCTAAAATGTACTAAAAATTGAATAATTTGTATTGGACAAATGGAATGAGCTACAATTCTGAAATTTGATTTATGAGACTGACTGATGGAGTGCAGGATAAATGTATGTTTTCGGAAATTCTAATTTTAAAATTACGAAAAGTACTAAAATGGTACTAAACTTCTAGAATGGTACCATTTTGGTATATTGTGAACCGATAGAATTAAAAGGTGGAAATGGAGGTATGAGAATCAAGGTTGGAAAGTAGGTTTGATACATGAGGTGATTTTAGAAATTTGTACTAAGTATGCGAACTGTACTAAATGGTACTAAATTTGGTCCTTGAAAAATATTCTTTAAAAATTCCACGTTTGAAGGACTGCTGGTCCTTGAAAAATATTCTTTAAAAATTCCACGTTTGAAGGACTGCTGGTCCTTGAAAAATATTCTTTAAAAATTCCACGTTTGAAGGACTGCTGTACCTTGAAAAATATTCTTTAAAAATTCCACGTTTGAAGGACTGCTGGTCCTTGAAATATATTCTTTAAAAAATCCACGTTTGAAGGACTGCTGGTCCTTGAAAATTTTTCTTTAAAATTCCACGTTTGAAGGACTGCTGGTCCTTGAAAAATATTCTTTAAAAATTCCACGTTTGAAGGACTGCTGGTCCTTGAAAATATTCTTTAAAAATTCCAAGTTTGAAGGACTGCTGGTCCTTGAAAAATATTCTTTAAAAATTCCACGTTTGAAGGACTGCTGGTCCTTGAAAAATATTCTTTAAAAATTCCACGTTTGAAGGACTGCTGGTCCTTGAAAAATATTCTTTAAAAAAACCACGTTTGAAGGACTGCTGGTCCTTGAAAAATATTCTTTAAAAATTCCACGTTTGAAGGACTGCTGGTCCTTGAAAAATATTCTTTAAAAAATCCAAGTTTCAAGGACAGCTGGTCCTTGAAATATATTCTTTAAAAAATCCACGTTTGAAGGACTGTTGGTCCTTGAAAAATATTCTTTAAAAAATCCACGTTTGAAGGACTGATGGTCCTTGAAAAATATTCTTTAAAAATTCCACGTTTGAAAGACTATGAAAAATATTCTTTAAAAAATCCACGTTTTTAGGACTGCTGGTCCTTGTAAAATATTCTTTAAAAAATCCAAGTTTCAAGGACTGTTGGTCCTTGAAAAATATTCTTTAAAAAATCCAAGTTTCAAGGACTGCTGGTCCTTGAAATATATTCTTTAAAAATTCCACGTTTGAAGGACTGTTGGTCCTTGAAAATATTCTTTAAAAATTCCACGTTTGAAGGACTGCTGGTCCTTGAAAAATATTCTTTAAAAAATCCACGTTTCAAGGACTGCTGGTCCTTGAAATATATTCTTAAAAAAATCCACGTTTGAAGGACTGTTGGTGTTGGTAAAAAATCCAAGTTTCAAGGACAGCTGGTCCTTGAAAAATATTCTTTAAAAATTCCACGTTTGAAGGACTGCTGGTCCTTGAAAAATATTCTTTAAAAATTCCACGTTTGAAGGACTGCTGGTCCTTGAAAAATATTCTTTAAAATTCCACGTTTGAAGGACTGCTGGTCCTTGAAAAATATTCTTTAAAAATTCAACGTTTGAAGGACTGCTGGTCCTTGAAAAATATTCTTTAAAAATTCAACGTTTGAAGGACTGCTGGTCCTTGAAATATATTCTTTAAAAAATCCACGCTTGAAGGACTGCTGGTCCTTGAAAAAATATTCTTTAAAAAATCCACGTTTCAAGGACTGCTGGTCCTTGAAAAATATTCTTTAAAAAATCCAAGTTTCAAGGACAGCTGGTTCTTGAAAAATATTCTTTAAAAAATCCACGTTTGAAGGACTGCTGGTCCTTGAAAAATATTCTTTAAAAATCCAAGTTTCAAGGACAGCTGGTCCTTGAAATATATTCTTTAAAAATTCCACGTTTGAAGGACTACTGGTCCTTGAAAAATATTCTTTAAAAATTCGACGTTTGAAGGACTGCTGGTCCTTGAAAAATATTCTTTAAAAATTCCACGTTTGAAGAACTGTTGGTCCTTGAAAAATATTCTTTAAAAATTCAACGTTTGAAGGACTGCTGGTCCTTGAAATATATTCTTTAAAAAATCCACGCTTGAAGGACTGCTGGTCCTTGAAAAAATATTCTTTAAAAAATCCACGTTTCAAGGACTGCTGGTCCTTGAAAAATATTCTTTAAAAAATCCAAGTTTCAAGGACAGCTGGTTCTTGAAAAATATTCTTTAAAAAATCCACGTTTGAAGGACTGCTGGTCCTTGAAAAATATTCTTTAAAAATCCAAGTTTCAAGGACAGCTGGTCCTTGAAATATATTCTTTAAAAAAATCCACGTTTGAAGGAGTGCTGGTCCTTGAAATATATTCTTTAAAAAATTCACGTTTGAAGGACTGCTGTGGCCCCTGTTAATATCAGGAATGGAGATTTGACGGTGGTTTTGGAAATTTGTACCATAATTGTACAAAAGGTACTAAATTTGGTATTGGGTGAAGGTATAGAGCTGAAAACCCGAAATTGGAGATTGGATATTGAGGTATCTGTTGGTATCTGGAATTGAGAGATTTGATACTGAGGTCTCTGTTAATATCTGGAAAGGAGATGTGTGGAGGTGGATTCAGAAGTGTGTTCAATAGTTGTACGAAAATTACTAAATGGTACTAAATTTGGTATTGGGTGAAGGAATAGGGATGAAATCCTGAAATTTGATATTGAGGTATCTGTTGGTATCTGGAATTGTGATATGGAGGTATTTTTCGGAATGACATACTAAAATTGAACACAAAAGTACGGAATGTTACTATATTTGGTATTAAGTGAAGAAATAGTGTTGGAATCCTCAAATTTGATATTGAGGCCTCCATTGGTATCTGGCATTGAGATATGGAGGTGCTTTTGGAAATGTTTACCATAATTGTTCTAAATGGCACGAATTTGGTTATTGCATAAAAGAATATAGCGGAAGTCCTGAAATTTGATACTGAGGTCTTTTTCTAAATATCCGAAATTGAGAAGGTGAAGGTGGTTTCGGAAATATGTAGTAATTGTACGAAAACTACTTAATGGTACCACATTTGGTATATTGGTTGCAGGAATAGAGCTCGAATCCTAAAATTTGATATTGAGGTCTCTGATGGCTAGTGGTTTTAGAAATTAGGAGAAAAATAGGAGTTTCTTTCCAATTTTTTTTATTAAATATTTCGAATTTCCAATTTTCGTTCATAATTTTTTGTGGTTGATTTCTTGAACTATTTTTGGTCCTTCGATCAAGAAAATTGTTTTCAAAATTTTTTTTTGGTTTTTTTAAATATTTTTGGTCCTTCGCTATTGGGAAAATGTCAGATTATTGAATATTTTTTATATAAATTTAAAAAAGTTTTTTTTGGGCTTTCGATTTAGGCATATTTTGGTCCTTCGATGAAGAAAAAATTTTTTTTTAAAAATATCATTTTTTGGTCCTTCGGTCTGGATATTTGTTTGGTCCTTCGTTTACAATATTCTCTCCTTTGAGGATTTTTATAGATATAATATCACCATTTTTTGGTCCTTCGATCTGGTTAATTTTGTGGCTCTTCGTTTACAATATTCTCTCCTTTGAGGATTTTTATAGATATAAGGTCTTTATTATTAAAATTACCCTTAGAAGACCTCCAAATTTCTTCAAGTTCTCCGAAAGGACAAATAAAAAGTTTTCCCCAAAAAAAGATTACGTGACTCATTTCCCCCCACACAATTTCGTGGGAAAGGTCATTGCCTGCCTGTCTAAGATAAGAAAAAGTTTATCTTTCGGATTGGTACTTCGAAGAAAAAAAAGAACAGATTTCATTATTCAAAGAACACCAGAGCAAAATATGTACGCAAATCAATTAACAGGCAATTTACCATGCAATTATCGAGATATATCGATAAGGCCGGAAAGAGGGAAATTCACTTTCAATAAAATTGGCAGCTACTGCCGCAAAGCCCTTCAGTTAGACGAAATCTTTTCACCAAAGAACAACCAAATCCGACTCCCAAGACTTAGAACAAGAAATCTACGGAGAGAAACCAAAATGCCAAAATCATCAACCTTGTGGATAGCCTTTGTGATGGCCCTGTCGCCATGGTTTTGTGGCATAGCCTTAGCCGATGACTATGCCGAATGTGAGGGTAAAGACAATCGTTATATTGCCAGCCCAAAGGGCTGTTCCAATTACATTTTCTGCTATGGCCATGACTCCTTTGAGGGTAATTGTGATGAGGATGCTCCATATTTTTCCGAAGACGAACAGACATGTGATGTTAATCCAGAGGTTTGTGCAAATTTGGAGCTTACACAGTCCGGTGAGGAGGGGGGTGATGCTGGCGCGGAAGGAAGTGAGGAGGAGTCGAATCCAGAGGGACCTCAAGTGGAACCGATTGCTCCCGTAGAACAGCCCTCAAATGTGGCAACCCAAGCCCCAACCGCAACCTCAGCAGGCCCTTCACCAGCTCCAACATTCTCACCGACGTCTTCCCCTCCTGGGCCAACCTTTGTACCCACAACCTTCAAGCCCTCTACAGGCATAACTGGTACATTTGCTCCTTCTACCGCAAAACCAGCTCCAACTGGCTCCAGCATTTCAACACCCATTGCCCTGCCCGATGCCAAATGCCCTGCCGTAGATGATCCCTCCAACCTGGTTTTCCTACAAAATCCCAAATCCTGTTCCGATTATTTTATGTGCTATCATGGTGAACCCATTGCCATGCACTGTTCCCATTCGCTGCATTTCGATATCAAGACGCATAAATGTGATTATCCGGAAAATGTCCAGTGTCAGGTGGGCTGAGTGAAATTTTCCTGACAGAGAAGATAAATTAATTTTTATTATTTTTTTTCGTTGTAGCTACATTTCTTCTCTCCCCGGGAAAAATGCCAGGCCCATACCGTCGATGTTTTCCCCCATCCCACCAATTGTAATTATTATTACATGTGCCGTCTGGGCTATCTCCTGGTGATGCAGTGTCCCCCCAACATGGATTGGGATTATAATCGCAATGTTTGTGTGCTGCGTGGCCGGGCCAATTGCTATTCGAATGTCAATCGACAGAGCAATAATTGGAATTTGTTTTTGAATTAAAGGGGAAATTTTTAAAATATTGAAAAATAAAAAAAAAATAGAAATTTTTCGAATCCAAGGACCATTAACGAAGGACCAAAAACAAAACGTTGTGAAATTAAATTTAAATAAATTTGAAATATTAAATAATGGAAATAAGAAGCACGAATGCTTGGAATAAAATGCTCACTATATTTTTATTAACCCAGGGTCTGGTACCTCACCTTCAAAGGGTCAACATTTTGAATATCCGTGAAGCTCATAAAACGCGAAATTAGCATTCGATTCCATTCAGACTTGGCACATCTCAAAATTTCTATCAACATAAAATCTGTTATAAAAATAGTATGGATCGGACCATTCCTTCTGGTAGCTCTTCCACAAAGGGTCAAAATTTTGAAAATCCGTGAAACTCACAAAACTTGAAATTGACATCCGATTCCATTCTAACTTCAATATTACCATCAACACAAAATCTGTTATAAAAATAGTAGAGATCGGACCATTTCTTCTGATACCTCCCCCACAAAGGGTTTAAGTTTTGAATAACCAAAACGGTGATAGAATCCGACATCAGCATCTGGTTCTCTTCATATTTCACACATCACTATATTTTTATCAACCAAAGGTTTGGTGTAAAAAGGGGATATATCGATCCACTCCTTCTGGTACCTCCCCCACAAAGGGTCAAATTTTTGAAAATCCATGAAACTCACAAAACTTGAAATTGACATCCGATTCTATTCAAACTTGGTACAGCTCAATATTACCATCAACACAAGATCTGTTATAAATATGGTAGGGACCAGACCATCCTTTCTGATACCTCCCCCACAAAGGGTTTAAGTTTTGAATAACCAAAACGGTGATAAAATCCGACATCAGCATCCGGTTCTCTTCATATTTCACACATAGCAATATTTTTATCAACCAAAGGTTTAGTGCAAAAAGGGGATATATCGATCCACTCCTTCTGGTACCACCCCCACAAAGGGTCAAAATTTTGAATATCCATGAGGCCCATAAATCGCGAAATTAACATCCGATTCCATTCAGACTTGATACATCTAAATATTTTTCTCAACATAAGATCTGTTATAAAGATGGTGGAGATCGGACCATTTCTTCTGATACCCCACCCCCAAAGGGTCAAAGTTTTGAATAACCAAAACGGTGACAAATCCGAAATAAGCATCCGGTTCTCTTCATATTTCACACATCACAATATTTTTATCAACCAAAGATTTGGTGTAAAAAGAGGATATATCGATCCACTCCTTCTGGTACCTCCCCCACAAAGGGTCAAAATTTTGAATATCCATGAGGCCCATAAATAGCGAAATTAACATCCGATTCCATTCAGACTTGATACATCTCAATATTTCCATCAACACAAGATCTATTACAAAGATTGTAGAGGTCGGACCATTTCTTCTGATAACTCCCCCATATAGGGTCAAAGTTTTGAATAACCAAAACAATTCTAAAATCCAAAGTAAGCATCCGGCTCTCTTCATATTCCACACATCCCATTACTTCTGCTAACATAAGATATGCTGTGAAGATGGAATATATCGGTCAATTCCTTCTGGTACCCCATATATAGCCCCCATATAACCGTACCCCTATATTCGGTAGTTCGATGATTTTAGCCAAATTTTTTCAATGGAATTGTCTGGAATTCTTCACAAAAAGTTCTATGTGAGTACTTTACCCCCTGAAAGAGAATTGTTCATGTAGGTCCACGTCTTCGTGTAGCCCTCATATAATGGTACCTCCCGATATTCGGTATTTTGAGGATATTAGCGACATAATTCACTGGAATTGTTTCAAATTTCGTATTTGAAGTTCGTAATGGAAACTACAACCTATGACCAAAAATTGTCCCTGCAGGTTTACCACTTCGTATATCCTCCATATAACGGCAACTCCCGATATTCGGTATTTTGATGATATTAGCGCCATAATTCACCGGAATTGTTTCAAATTTCGTATTTGAAGATCGCAATGGCTACTACAACCTATGACCGAAAATTGTCTATGCAGGTCCACGTCTTTGTATAGCCCTCATATAACGATACCTCCCTATATTCGGTATTTTGATGATATTGGCGACATAATTCACCGGGATTGCTTCAAATTTTGTATTTGAAGTTCGGAATCGTTACTACATCCTATGACAGAAAATTGTCCCTGCAGGTTCACCACTTCTTAAAGCCCCCATATAACAGCATCTCCCCATATTCGGTATTTTAATAATTTTAGCCACATTTTTCAATGGAATTGTTTCAAATTTCGTATCTAAAGTTCGTAATGGGCACTTCAACCTATGACCGAAAATTGTCTATGCCGGTCCACGCCTTCGTATAGCTCCCATACAACGGCAACTTCCGATATTCGGTATTTTGCTGATATTAGCGACACAATTCACCGGAATTGTTTTAAATTTCGTATTTGAGATTCGCTATGGATACTACTACATATGACAGAAAATTGTCTGTGTAGGTCCACGTCTTTGTATAGCCCCCATACAACGGTACCTTCAGATATTCGGTATTTTGATGCTATTAGCGCCATAATTCACCGGAATTGTTTCAAATTTCGTATTTGAAGATCGCAATGGCTACTACAACCTATGACCGAAAATTGTCTATGCAGGTCCACGTCTTTGTATAGCCCTCATATAACGATACCTCCCTATATTCGGTATTTTGATGATATTGGCGACATAATTCACCGGGATTGCTTCAAATTTTGTATTTGAAGTTCGGAATCGTTACTACATCCTATGACAGAAAATTGTCCCTGCAGGTTCACCACTTCTTAAAGCCCCATATAACAGCATCTCCCCATATTCGGTATTTTAATAATTTTAGCCACATTTTTCAATGGAATTGTTTCAAATTTCGTATCTAAAGTTCGTAATGGGCACTTCAACCTATGACCGAAAATTGTCTATGCCGGTCCACGCCTTCGTATAGCTCCCATACAACGGCAACTTCCGATATTCGGTATTTTGCTTATATTAGCGACACAATTCACCGGAATTGTTTTAAATTTCGTATTTGAGATTCGCTATGGATACTACTACATATGACAGAAAATTGTCTGTGTAGGTCCACGTCTTTGTATAGCCCCCATACAACGGTACCTTCAGATATTCGGTATTTTGATGCTATTAGCGCCATAATTCACCGGAATTGTTTCAAATTTCGTATTTGAAGATCGCAATGGCTACTACAACCTATGACCGAAAATTGTCTATGCAGGTCCACGTCTTTGTATAGCCCTCATATAACGATACCTCCCTATATTCGGTATTTTGATGATATTGGCGACATAATTCACCGGGATTGCTTCAAATTTTGTATTTGAAGTTCGGAATCGTTACTACATCCTATGACAGAAAATTTTCCCTACAGGTCCACGTCTTCGTATAGCCTCCATACCACGGTATCTCCTTCTATTCGGTATTTTGATGATATTAGCGACATAATTCACCGGAATTGTTTCAAATTTCGTATTTGAAATTCGTAATGGATATTACAGGCTATGACAGAAAATTGTCCGTGCAGGTCCACGCCTTCGTATAGCCCCCATACAACAGTACCTTCCGATATTCGGTATTTTGATGATATTAGCGACATAATTCAACGGAATTGTTTCGAATTTGGTATTTGAAGTTTGTAATAGAAACTACAGCCTATGACAGAAAATTGTCCGTACATGTCCACGCCTTCGTATAGCCCCCATACAACAGTACCTTCCGATATTCGGTATTTTGATGATATTGGCGACATAATTCACCGGGATTGCTTCAAATTTGGTATTTGAAGTTGGTAATGGTACTACAACCCATGACGGAAAATTGTCCCTGCAGGCTCACGCCTTCGTACAGCCCCCATACAACAGTACCTTCCGATATTCGGTATTTTGATGATATTAGCGCCATAATTCACCGGAATTGTTTCAAATTTGGTATTTGAAGTTGGTAATGGGTACTACAACCCATAACGGAAAATTGTCCCTGCAGGCTCACGCCTTCGTATAGCCCCCATATAACGACACCTCCCGATATTCGGCATTTTGATTATATTAGCGCTATAATTCACCGGAATTGTATCAAATTTCGTATTTAAAGCTGGGAATCGTTACTACAGCCTTTGACCAAAAAAATTAGTTATACCGCACCAAGGCTTCCTATAGCTCTCATACAAAGGTTTTCATTTGTGTGGCATTTTTCGACGGATTTTTTTTTTAATTTTTAAATTCTTTCCGAATGGTGGCCGGCCGAACTTAACTGTTTTTTTTTTTTTGGTCCTTAAATCAAAATGTCTCTTGAATTGTTGTTATGGTAATTTCGGAGTATTTCTCTTTTCAATAACATGTCATTTGGTCCTTCGACTTGTTAGTGATTCTCAATCCAAAAAATCAATTAATTCCAGAAAAAAATCCCAACATAACCCTGACTCATTTTGACATGCTAAAAATCTCTGGTAATTGATATTTGTTTATTCGTTTCAAATATTTGTAGAAAAAAAAAAAAACAAAACAAAAAATCCCAGAGCAAAACACAGAATTCAAATTACTGGCGGAAGAAGAGATAACCCAGATAATGGGAACCGCACTTCCATGGAAATAATCTTTTGCTTTTTGTTTTTTTTTTGAGGCAACGGAAATTGATTCGATTCGAAACTTATCTGAGTTGATACATTTGAATGACTTTAAATATGCAAAGAATTTAGATCAAGTTTAGACGTGGTAAAGTTAAGAAGTTAGCGGACGAAACGTCAGAGCAAAAAAATGAGGTTAAGCCAAGGTAAGGGGAATGGATTTGGAAGTTTCAAAGGAAAAAAGTGTTTAAAGGTTATATTTTGTTGCAGATTTAAGGCTCATGAATCTAGTGGTTGTTTTGCTGGAAATTTCCATCAATCCGGTCCAAAGTTTGAGGCACAAAGTTTCACGACAAAATTCCAATCCTTGTGCCAATCATGCGGTGGGAGATTTGGTGGAAAATCCAACCGACTGTAGCCTCTTCTTTTTCTGTGGCGATGATGGTGAAACGGTGGAGGCCTCATGTCCCTACAATATGTTCTTTAATCCCCAAACGAAGCTGTGTGATGTGGTCGAAAAGGTACCACACTGCCAGACAGGTAATCGCCCCCCATCCCCGGCCAATGGTCCAAACTCTGCTGCCCCAGCTGCCCCATCGGCCCCGGTAAGCGCTGAAGACATTCTGGCCAATGCGAATCGTTACTGCTTCGATTTGTACGGCCAACAGGCCCAATCCAATGCCCTGGTATTCATTGCAAATCCCCAAAATTGCTATCAATATTTCATGTGCTATCACGGTCAGGCCTTGGTCCAGGAGTGCAGTGCCAATCTCTATTGGAATGCCAAAATCGGTAAATGTGACATGCCCACAAATGTCCAATGCATACCGCCCGAGTTAAGCAATGCAAATGCAATGCAAATATCTCCCGTGCCAGGGGGAGGGGAACAACCGCAGGAACAGGAAACCATGTGTCCGGTGTACGGGCATCATATCTTCCCACACATGGAGCGTTGCGATTTCTTTATCTATTGTGTCAAGGGTCATGCCATTGTGCAGCGTTGTCCCTTCTTTCATTATTTCGATGTGGAGAGTGGTCGCTGCAAGGTCCGGCCGATGGCCTTGTGTATCAAGGATTTAAATTTGAAATTCCGCATGAATTCATTTTGAAGCGAAGAGAATAAAATTTTAATGAAGAAATAAAAAAATAAGTTAAAAAGCACCCGAATTCGACTTTTAATACCCTCCATACCATTTGGAAGGAACTTGAAAAATAAAAAAAAAAAAAATCGTCGAAAAAAACCGGCTAAATAAAAACCGAAGACCGAAGAACCTGTATAAGTAATTTTTTTTTGTCATAGACTCCGAATTTCGAATACGAAATTTGAAATAATTCCGGTGAAAAATGTCGCTAAAATCATTAAAATATCGAATATCGGGAGGTACCGTTGTATGGGGGGCTATAAGAAGGCCTGGTCCAGCATAGTCAATTTTCTGTCATTTCGAGCTTTAAGTACCAAGTTTGAAATAATTCCGATCTATAATGTCGCTTACATAAACAAAATACCGAATATAGGGAGGTACCTTTATATGGGGGCTGTATTAAAAAAGGTGGACCGACATGGGGCCTTCCCATTGGATTATTCCATTATTGGAGTTATGTCAAATGGAGAGTTCTTCTTTCTAAATTTCAGAATAACTTTAGATTTGTTCGAATTGGTCACCTTTGGCACGAATTATGGCCTTCAAAATGGCCAATGAAACCATCACGCGTTGCTCGAATGTTGCTTTGCGGTATTTTGGTCCATTCCCGGTGAAGCGCTTACTTGAGGTGATCGACACTTTGGTATTTTTTAGTGTCAACCTTGCTTTCCAAAATACTCCGGACACAAAAGTCCAACGAATTGGTATCCGGAGATTTTGGTGTCCATTGTGTGCTGAAAATGAAGCGAGGAACCTCATTTTGTAACCATTCTTGGCTTTCGAACCATTCTGAGTGCGACGGTGCTGAGTCTTGTTGGATTGTCCAAGGTCTGCGGCTGAAATGTTTGCGTGCCCAAGGCTTAAATACACCCTCCAGAATATTTTCGCGATAATATTCGGCATTTATTCTGATACCACGGTCGATTAATACAAGCGCAGAGCGATCATCGGCTGTTATGGCGGCCCACATCATCACCATGGTCGGCGCTTGAGTTCTGGTGGCCAAGCGAAGGTGCACATTTTCAGCTGACCTCATTTTGTTTGTTTACAAACTGCTGGACAACGAATGTTTTCTCATCTCGGAGACCACCAAACCAAATTCGGCAGTTCATCACTTTCTTCGGTCAAGCGAAGCAACTCTTTAGCTCTTTTGAGTCTATTTTCTTTCTGTTGCGGTGTAAGTTCTTGCACTTTTTGGAATTTCAATGGCTTTTCCCCCCGAGCTCATTTTTCAATATTTGCCGAATGCCGAAGTCTGCGATATATTCAGCTCACGAGCCACTAGAATAATTTTAACAGCTGGCGGATGAGTGGCTTAGAAATGACAGCAGTCTGAAGTTGTTAGTAATTTTTTCATCTCACCTTGAATATATCTATGACGACCCTCTGTGGAGTAGGTTCTGAAGGAATCTTGAATCCCTAAATAGAAATATTGAGATGTTTGAAGTCTAAATGGAATCGGAATGGAATGAATGGCTGAGGGTATAAAGTACCCAAGTACCCCTATTGAAAGCCTGGCTTTGCCTGGCAAAGATTTTGTTACAATTTTGTTTATGTAGCTCAGCCATGGCTTGCAGCTCTCCAAACCGTCCCCCGCGACATTTTTCTACCAACTGCTGTAATGTGCTGGTGTCTGTGCTTTTTGCTGGAAATCTGGTGATAAGCCGTCGCCATGATTTACCAACCATGCAGCCATACAGTCAGTCAGCCAAGCAGTCAAGCAATTGGGTACCACTCGGCGATATCGTTCGTACATTTCAAATGAGCAAATTGCGAATGTTAGCAGAAAATGCGCGAAAAAGAAACACAAGAAGAAAATATGTTGTCAACCAAAGGCAAAGGCAATAAAGAAAAATTGGTTGCGGTGATTTGATTGTAGGTTTTATGTTGTCAGGTTAGAGTTGCAAACTCATACGGGTGATTTTGGTGGTATAGGTTTTTTGGATTTTTTTTCCGAGGATATGTTGACATATAATCAAAGAATAAAAATATGTGGTACAATAAATGGTCCTTCGGGGGCCAAAAAACGTGGGTTTATTTTTTTTATATAATTTTTAGACTTTATAAGATCCATAGAGCCTAGGAAATATTTGCCACAAAATATTGCAGACCCCAAGGAACTTATGAAGATTTTTTATATAATATAGTGCCCATGATGGCCACGAACAATTTTTTTTTTATAAAATTTTGGTAGGCTCCAGAGGTTCCATGAAAAATTTCGTATAAATAATGTTTGGTTTTTAAAAAATTTTCCTTGCAATCTAGAGCCAATAAAAAATCTGTAAAAATTGTTAGGCCCTTGGGAGTATTGGAAAATTTTTATAATCATTATTTTTTTATTTATAAAGTTTCTTAGGGGGTCTACCATAAAGTTTCTATGAAGCATTGTAGGCCACATTGAGTTTATACAATTTTTTTCTTTAAAAATTGATAGGTACCTAGGGGTCTATGAAAATTTGCCTATAAAGCGTCAGTAAGCTCTTGGGTATGTGAAAAATTTGCCTGTAAAATATTATAGACCCTACTGAGCTATTGAAAACTTGTCTATCAAATTATATGGCGCCTAGGACCCTCTAGGACCTATGGAAATGTTTCTGTAACTAGGGGTCCATGAATTATTTTCCCTAAAATATTATAGGCTCCATGAAACTTACGAAAAATGTCCCCAAAAATTGCATGAAATTTGGGGCGCATGAAAAGTTTTCTTTCAAATTTTTTAGGCAACCTAGGGGTCTATGCGTTTTTTTCTATCCTGTGGCCTAGGAACTATTTTCGATAATTTAAACAAAAAACTCCTGTTTTATTTTTGGAAATCACTATCAAATTTTATAAACCCCAAGGTACCGAGAAAAAATATTTCAGGACCTCAGATTCCTATGCAAAAATTGTAAATCTAATTTTCCGAACCCCTATACATATTGTAGGTCAACAGGAGATCTATAAAAGTATTTTACAAATGCTCATAGTCATAGCTTCAGCATTTCCATGCTTTCAGCTTCCCTACCGCCACTTCTGCTTTGATTAGAAAATCGGAAAAATTCGATTATGTGGAATCGTTTGGTAGCACAAGGCATATATATTCAGAAAGTATTTGATCGAAAGCTTTCCGTCTCAATTCAGTATTTGCCATGCAGTTTTCCTGCCGCCATGTCGGGATATTATGTGATTTTTCTGTTGAATTAATTTAGGAGAACTCGTGAGCTGAACATATCGCAATATTCGGCAAATTCGGCAAATATTGAAAAATCAGCTCGGGGTAAAGCCATTGAAATTGCAAAAAGTGCAAAAACTTACACCGCAACTGAAAGAAAATAGACTCAAAAGAGCTAAAGAGTTGCTTTGCTTCGCCAAAAAGTGGTGAACTGCCGAATTTGGTTTGGTGATCTTCGATGAGATAACATTCGTTGTCCAGCAGTTTGTAAACAGAACAAAATGATGGTGTTTACTTGCCAATGAGGTCAGGTCAGCTGAAAATGTGAACCTTCAGTTGGCCACCAGAACTAAAACGCCGACCATGGTGATGCTGATGGATCGGTCATAACAGCCGATGGTATTGTGTCTGGAGTATTTTGGAAATCAAGGTTGGCACTAAAAAATACCAAAGTGTCAATCACCTCAAGCAAGCGCTTCGCCGGGAATGGGCCAAAATACCGCAGAGTAACATTCGCAACATTGAATAATCATAGCTCTTATAAAATGTTACGTAAAAGTTCGATTATCTTCACAATATTTTTATTAACCCAAGGTCGAGTGTGAAGATGAAATATATCGGTCCACTCCTTCTGGTACCTCCCCCCACAAAGGGATCAACATTTTGAATATCCCTAAAGCTCATAAAACGAGAAATTAACATCCGCTTCCATTCAAACTTTGCTCATCTCAATGTCGATGGTCGTTCTCTGCTCGTATTAATCGACCGTGGCATCAGAATAAATGCCGAATATTATGGCGAAAATATTTTGGAGGGTGTATTAAAGCCTTGGACACGCAAACATTTTGGCCGCAGACCTTGGACATTCCAACAGGACCAAGCATTGCATCGCACTCAGAACGCGCCACCAAAGAATGGTTACAAAATGAGGTTCCCCCTCGCTTAATTTCCAGCGCACAATGGCCACCAAAATCTCCGGATAGTAATCCATTGGGCTATTGTGTCTGGAGTACTTTGGAAAGTAAGGTTGGCACTAAAAAATACCAAAGTGTCGATCACCTCAAGCAAGCGCTTCGCCGGGAATGGGCCAAAATACCGCAGAGCCACATTCGGGCAGCGTGTGACGGTTTTATTGGCCGTTCGAAGGCCATAATTCGTGCCAAAGTTGACCAATTCGAACAAATCTAAACTTATTCTAAAATTTGATAATATTTCCGACCTTTTTTGCTTTCATTCAATAAAATTTAAGAAAAAATGTAAAAATTATAGCGTTTGACTTTGTTGCAGTTTTTTTTTTTATCTCATCCTGCAATAATAATAATTAAACAAAAAATATTTAAAGATCAATTACAAAAATAATATTTTTAAAAATATTTTTTCACCAATCCCACATCGAAATATTTTTTCCGAAAATCGACGAGGATTTTTTAATTGTTTTGTCAAGAGCCCAACGTTCAGTAAATTCCCTAAAAAAATATTTCTTCGATCGTCCAAAGCAGCTTGGATTTTTTAAATATATTTTTCAAGCACTCAAGGCTGTTGGGACTTTAAACAAAAATAAATAAAGTAAAAATAAACTAAAAACCAGTAAAGAAAGTCTTAAAGTCGGGCGGGGCCGACTTTATGATACGCTACACCACTTTGCTAATTTAATAGACCTCCACATAACAATTAAAAGTTTTTATGGGAGAATTCAGTCATTCAAGCAACGATTATAATTTTAATTTAAAGTTCAAAGGACTAAATATGCCGAAGCATTTGTATCTTTTAAATTCGGACTTGTATTGCCCATTGCACAATTAATTTAAAATCGGATAATGATATATATGGGAGCTATATCTAAATCTGAAC